ATGAACCCAAAATTCAAGCTGCCAAGAGAAGAAGTGGATGTATAAAAGCACTGTCGAACCAAACACATAATAGCAAGTGGCTGGCCTTTCGTCTGGGAGCACATCTTTCCCGAAAGACTGTAGTTGCCAGCAGAGAGGGTGTTAACAGGTGTGATGGAGGAATGCTGTATTCTGGGGTTCTGCTGGAGCTTTGTATCTCTCCAGTATGATGACCTTGCTTCACTGAAGTCCAACCATGGATCACCCTCCTCATAGTCATTATTAATAGAGTCACGGCACACTCACTGTAAGCAGCAGTTGGAATGGCCCTAACTACTAGTATCAGTGCCCAAAGTGCAGAGCCCACAGAGAATGTCACACACAATTTCTGTAATCACTTACAAGTCATGTGGGGGAGGTATTGACACAGATTTTACAGATGAGAACACTGGTATCTGGAGAATTTTATATAACCTGTGGAAGGCCATGGAGCCATTAGGTGATTGCCTGGCTCCACAACTGGTATTCTATCACACCATGCAGCCGTATAGTTGGCCGTTGAACAACTAGGGCATTAGGGGTGCTGAGCCCCCACGCAGTCAGAAATCTGCGGATAACTACAGTTGGCTCACCATATACACACATCCCTGACCACGGAGTTGACCATTTAACAATGTAGATTGAACCATATGGGTCTATTGAACTTTGATCAACTGGAAAAACATCCACATTCAAGTGGAAGGATGCATTTCAAGCCCATATTGTTCAAGGATCGACCGTACTGAGTAAAAGCGGTAGATTGAATTGTTGACCCCAATTTTTTTAAAGGAATTCTTTCTTTTGGAAGGTGGAAGGAAGGCAATTATAAAAGACATCTTTCAAGAAAATCAATCTTTGGTGGGAGGCAACATTTTTGAGGTTCTGAATCGTGAAGCTGGTGCTTTAAAACTCTCCGTGTTTGTCTGTCTCTTGGAAAGTCTTTGGAAAGTCTTTGAGCACTGAAATGACCACACACCACAGTTTATACCTGCTGTCCTGGTGAAATTATTAACAGCACCCCTCTCACTCTCTAGGAATGTCCATTTGGATGATGTTTACTATCAGTCACCCCATCGAGGACCCTTTCTGGTCCCCCAAGGGAACATATGTTCAGCTCTGAAGACCCCTTGTGTAAACCAAGAAGTTCCTGATTTATTTCCCATTTCTTTTTTTCCTGTAAAATTTCTAAAATATTTATTGTACATCTATTATGTGCCACATGCTGTAAGTTACTTTGATATATCTCATTTTATCATCAGAATTATCATGTGAGATGTTTTTATTGTTCCACTTTATTTTAACAGAGAAGAAACTGAAAACCCAGAATGTTTAACGGACCAGTCACAGTTAGCCAGTGGCTAAACCAGAACCCACGGCCTGGCCTTGTTTCTAAATTCTGTGCTTGCGATCAAGTCTGGGCCCTGGGTCTCCAGGGTGGAGGGTGAAGAACTAACTGCCTTGTGTTGGCTCCATTCCCCTAGTCATGAGGTCCCACCTCCCTAAAGCTGGCGTTGTAACCGAGGCCTGCTCATTGTCACACTGCTCTTTTGCCCAAATCTCCATGTGAAAGACCTCCCACCAGGCTCCCTTTCACAGTTGTCCTCACTTTCTCTACATCTCTATCCTGGTTCTGCTCACCAGCATCTCCTCCTTGGGTGGCTGCCCAGTGCCCAATCCATTCCATAAGGGCAGCCCCAGCCATCTCTCCAAAATGCTGGCTTCCCCATTCCACTCGCCTGCTGAAGCCCGTCCAGTGCTTCCCATGGGATAAAGTCTGAACCTCTTGTCAAGGTTCACAAGGTTCTTCTTTTCAAATGTGCACATCAGTCCTATTGAACTTTGACCTTTTCCTTCTCCAACCCCCACCACCTAGCCAATTATTTGCCCCACATATGCCTCCGCCTCCAAACTGTGTTTTCTATTCATGCATTATATCTCAGCTTAGATCTCTGGGCTGCTTGCCTGGGCTCTGTGTGCCCCTTTCTGCCCTCCCAGTGGCATGCTGGAGCCAGGTGTTATGAGCTCTCCAAGCCGATTGCGCATATTACTTCCCAGCTCCAGCATTGCCTGCCTTTGTGTGTCCTCTGAAAACTGGCCACGGTGAGAGTATTTACATCACAGAAATTGGCAAATGGTACAAAGCAGGGCTTTTCAAAAGACACTGGTTAGTAAACATGTACCAGCACAACACTGCGCCCCTCCTGTGTTTTCATAACCCTATTATTCATTCCATGAATGTTTACTCACTCACTGCGTACAACATGTCAGATACCATTCTAGTAGCTGGGTGGGCAAATATACTCCCTGGCACCATGGAGCTTATGGTGTTGAAAGGGGAGACTGGCCGCCTTATTCAAATATTCACATAAATAAAGTATAAAGTGATAACTATGTTAAGAACTAAAAATCCATTTAATAGGATATTTGATTTAGTCTAGGAAGGTTTTCCTAAGCTAAAATCTGAAGGAAATCTTGGGGTTGAGGAAGGAACAAGGTGAGGGAACAGCACTGCAGGCCAGGGGAAGGACATGTGCTGTGCTCAGAGGGAGCATGGCTCTCGGGAGCAAGGGGAAGAAGACAAGAGGAGCCAGGAGTGAGCCAGGAAGCTTGGTGGGAGATGCAGCTCAGAGTGAAGGCCACATGGAGTTTCCTAGGTCTTATTAAGCAGTTTCACCTTTAGCCTAAGAGCAGTGGGAGGTCATTGAACTGTTTTCAGCAGGAAGAGCACATGGAATAGTGGAGAACAAGCACAGCATCCTGGGTCAGTTATCAGCTCTGGAGCCAGGCTGCCTGGGTTGGAATACTGACTCTGCTGCTCATTGCATCTCACTAGCAACTTCTCTGTGCTTCAGTTTCCTCGTGGAAAGTGGTGATAAAATAATACCCATTCTAAAGGGCTCTTGAAGCAGTGCTTGTTCAATTAAATAAATAAAAACCTCTTTGGTAAGATAGCTGAATGCTACAGGTGGCCTGCGCTCTAATAGGGGATGAAGACACAAACAAATAATTATAATATAACATGAAGTAAGCACAAAGGACAGTGGCAACACAAAGATGAGGGTGCGCTTTGTTTCCAGCAGTTATTACGGGCAGAGTGGAGGGCATAAAGGATGTCCCAGATGGAGAGAGTAGCGCTAAGAGTTGTGGAGATGTACCAATGACACTGTGCTCTGAAGCTTAAAGCCTAGTGTAGGAAACAGACATGAATATGAAGCAATGGGAAAAAATCTTATGGTAGAGGTTACAAGTAAGGAGTCATTAATTTCCACCAGAAAGCAAATGGGGAGGCTCTATGGAGGAGGGCCCGGCATCATGGTTGGCTGCATGGGCACTGGAATCAGGCCAGTTCTGGTTAGAATGCTAACATTGTACCTCACTAGTTAATATACTTGGACCTCTCTAACCCACAATGTCCTCCTCTGTAAAGCAGTAATAATAATAATAATAATAATAATAATAATAATACCACCTAGCTTGTAGGGTTGATAAAAATTCACAGTTAATGCATGTAAAATCTCAGCATAAAGCATGCAACAATTGTTATTTTTATTACATTGTGAGTTGAACCTTGAGTGAGAAGCACTTTGATTGGCAGTAAAGGAGTAACAGGAGAGCAGCCACAGAACTTAAAAAGCATCAGACACAGTATGGTTATCAGTACCAATCTATGAACTGTTTTTACTTGTCCAAGATGAGATAAATATCGAAACTGAGACTCAAAATTGAGATAGAAAAAGAAAGCAAAAACAAATCGACAGAGTAAGTTTATACTTGTATGCTCGTAATGAAAGCTGCAGTGTGCCTTATAGATCTTTTGTCTGTTTCACTTTTTCTAGCAAGTTTTTAGTTGTATCTTACAAAACTAACAGTCCCTGAAAAATTGGAAATAATAAAACTTGTCCTTTACCTCCGATAGAAAAAAAAGTAATTCCGTGGAGTTGGATTTAGCACCACAGACACGGCCCTGGAAAGGTGGGCCAGGACCAGAGTTCATACTTTATCTGGTGGACAACAGGGTTAATAATGTTTAGAGAGATTGTTAACTGAAGGGTATGCATATGTAGATAAATGGACATTGCATGACTTGTGCTTTTTCTCCTAAGTGAGCATGTGGTTTTTCTTTTTAAATTAAAACTTTTTTTTCTGATTAAGAGGAGAGATCTGAATTGCTTCATGTTTCTCAAAGATAACCGTTTGTATTTGATAAGAGTATTAAAGAAATGCAAACTTATCAAAACAAACCGTTGAAAATACGTGAGCACACTCTTTGTGACCAGCAATACGAGCGACCTTTTGAGATAAGCTACACGGGGCAGTAATCAGATGAGTCTCCTTTTTTCTTGGGCACCTTCATATAATTAATGCATCAAGTGAAGAGAAATGACTCTTCCTGATCCCTATCTGGCTCATCTCCTCCGCCTTTCATCACTGGCAATCCTGAACCTGCAGGATGGGAAAATAACAGTTTAATCGCTCACGCCTCAGAGACGTTTGACAGCTCACAAAGCTTTGAGTTTCCAGACGCCGTTAGCCAGGTTCAGAGCCACCGAAACCGATAGCATTTTCCTTTCAGCTTCACAATGCCTTGCTTTCCTGCGTGCGTCGCCACTCTAAAGCCAAAACACCTGCGTCAACGCCTTGACCCAGCCTGGGCCTGAGGCTAGACCTGCTGGAACAACCCGCTGCCCCGAAGCAGTAAGGGCCCGCGGGGGTCCGAGGGCGACGCGCGAGTCCCGTTGGCCTCCTTTGTAAAGAAGCAAGGCCACGGGGATCAGGACCCAGGGCGACACTCAGTTGTCTAGTAGGACTCAGAACCCAAAAGGTGAGGAGCTGTGGGGTGGGCCTGTGGCCCTAAGATTCCCCGAGTCCCAGTGAGTGGCACCCGCCCCTTCCCCCTCCTGGGCAGTGTAGGAGGTGGCGCACCGGTCCCTCCCATCTTCGCCCGCCCGCCCAGCTCCGCCCGTTGACCCGGGTCCCGCCTTCCCGCTTCGGGGCAGGGGGCAGGGCCGAGGACACAGGCTGCGCGAAGGGCCGTGACCTGAACCCTGGCCTTTGTGCCTGTCCTCGGGCACCGCTGCTGTCCCCTCTGCAGCCGCCCAAGAGGCCGGACCAGGTGCGTTCGCCGCCGTGCCCGTGGGCGGCTGGGCCATGGCCCCGGCTCCTCCCGGGGGCGGGCTGAGGCCGGAGGCGGCCTCGGGGATGGGCTTTCTAAGTCGCTCGTTTTGGGGAGCGACTGATGGACAGGGCTGGGAGGCCACTGGGAGACTGGGGCCTGCGGCTTCTGTGACAAGGGACGCACCGGGCCCACAACTGGGAAGCCTCCCAGGGTTGGGATGGAGCAGGAGGCTGCCCAGCCGCCCCGAGTGGGCCTGGACTGTGCCTCCCCTGCGCCGCCTCTCTGTCCCCTCCTCTCCGGGCCCAGTCCCACGCCCCCAAGGAACTTCCCTCTTTCCCCGGTCTGGAACAAACTCCTAGCCCCCCAGCCTCCAGGGTGCTTTATCTGGCCCCCTTTGAGGTTCTTTCCCCTTGCACTTTCACTTTTGGTGCCGTCCAGGCTCCACTCTAAGTTCGCTCACTTGTCAGTCCTCAGTAGGACTCAATGCGTAATTGAAGGAGTGAGGACCAAAAGGTAGAACGGTGAAGTGAGGAATGAGTCAGTGAATGAGTGAGAACACCTGAACCAGAGCTGAATGGAGGAATGCCTGAACGGATACAGATACATTTCAAGTGGAGGCAGTGGACACAGGCTTACAACTCATCTTCTGCTAGTTTTCCAAAAAGTTGTCCATGTTGTACTTTTAATGGAGTCATTCTGTTGTGCAAGCTACTTAAAAGGAATTGTAGTCTATGCTGTTTAAAAAAAAATAATCACAGAAGCACCCCCTCATTTACATTTAGGTGGATTTTTGTATAGGTGTTCCTGAAAACAAAATATGCCTAGGCTTTTTCTTGCTTGTGTTTTGTTTCTGCTTTGGAATTCTGGAGAGTCATTGTCACCATATTATTTATCATATTTCAGAAAGATAAACGTGAATCAAAAGGTAGAACCACGTGACCCTGCTCTTAGTAACTTGTTTGTAAAACCAGACATTTCTCTTGAATGAGGATTATGAAGAGTCCTGTTTCCCTGAGACAGGCACTGGCTACCTTGTGGGTGACTGAAGGAGGCTGACTCTAGTACAGAGAGGAGGAGAGACACATTTATCTGTGTGTAGATACTCTGGAAGTTACATAGGCTGAGACTGTTCTAATTCGGTTGGTCACTGCATCAGTTCTAGGTTTCCAGACCCAGTTCTGGAAAAGCTGGATGACTTTGGACTTGTCACTTGATCTCTTCAGCTCTTAATTTCTTAATCTCCAAGATGTGGGAGGTTGTGGGTCCCCTTCCAGAGTTAGACTTCTAGGACACAGGTAGCAAACACAAGGCCCGCGGGCCACATCCGGCCTCCATCTTGTTTTATCCAGCTCGGCACCTTGTTTCTACCCGGCAGCAGCGCCAAAGCTCTCGCTTCACTGTTAAGGAGCAGTTACATTTATACAGTCCTAAAATTACATTCAGCCCTTTGAAGGCAACCATGAGGCTGATGTGGTCCCTGGTGAAAATGAGTTTGACACCCCTGTTCTAGGACTCTCTCTATTTTCAGGGTTAAAAGGTGAAACTGCAGGTGATTTAATGGAGTTCTATTTACCTCAGCTGCTCTGCTTGGGAGTTCTGCACAATCATAGCCCTCCTTTCTTCTCTGCACCTTGCAGCCTCTCCTCTTCCTCTCCATATGTACTACAAAAGGACCTGGAGCTCACTAGACTCTGGGCTGGTGGAGAGAAAGAAGGGCAGGGTTTTTTATTCTGCATTGCCACAGGCTGCCTGTCCTGGGTCTAACTTGTTTTCCATGCAGCCCCGACTGACAATGCCATATATTTCCATTATATCCAGGGAATTGAAACACTATTAATTTGCATGCACTTGAGGTTAGTTATCATATATCACAACATTGTGGAGCTGGAAGGACCTTAGAGATTTTTTAAAAGCACTTATGGCATTTCACATACCTATTAAAATATATTTTTGCATGCTACATTTAACAAAAACAATGACCCAAACAGGTTAAGTTGAATAAAATAATGTTACCTACTTCAGTTACTTCAAGTCAGTTGGGCAATGTGGAGCCAAACATGGTGCTTGGTGTAAAAACCCAACTTTCTCAGACTTTTTTCCCAAGGAGCCAATTATGGGATCATATGTTGTTCATCCATGGAATGTAACAAAGTTAGTATTTACAGGGCACTGCCTGCCTGCTAAGCATTGGTATATTTATTTATTTATTTTTACTTATATTGCCCCATGTAATTCTTAGTATAAGCCCAAGAGTTAAGTACTATTGTAATCCCTATTTAACCTTCCTAACTAGAAATGGCACTTGAAAAATGTGAAAGTCAGGTACTCAAAACACAGGCAGATGGAGGCAGGTTCTCTTCCCCAAAGACAGACAATTCCAGGATACTCTCTGGGGCATTGTGGGTAAGTGAATTTAGGATGGGAGCCTAGGGGTGGAATAATTCAGTTTGAATTACAAAGAATTGGTCTTTATATCATTTTGAAAATTATTGAATTCTGTTGGGGCTTGCGTACACTCAGATACTTTGACCTAGATGCTGCAGGTGCATCCTAAGTTTAAACACATTCAGATTGACCAATTTAAGTAGTAGAAAATGGGTGACATGGAGAGCTATCTTTAATGAGTGGCACTTAAGGGCTGTGAGCTATGAGTACTGAGTAATGTTGTTTCTTGGGCTAGCTTGGTGTCCTTGGTAAGGCACTGCCTCCCAACCTGTTTCTTAATGTTAAATATTTGAATTTATTCTGAAAGTATTGTAAAATTATCATATATTAAATAGAATACAATAAAGTTATGTAATATACAATGAACACTATGCTGTACTTCCTGATGATGCCAAAAATGTATCTTCCTGTGTCTGCACATGCCTATGTCCCCTCACGTACCAACCTCTTTCTTTATAAGACCACAGCTCCTAATGCAGGCAAGGTGCAATGCCTGCATCCCTGTAATCTGGGGACTCGAGTGCAAGATGAGTTTCTGGGACCTTCATAATTAACTGACGAGAGCAAAAGAGGGGCTCATAAAATAAGGGGGAAATTGTTTTGTTTCTTCTTTGTCAGTCACATTTAGCCTCATGGAAAGCAGAGACCAACTGTGGCCACCTGAAAAACTGAGAGCTGATGCCAGTTTGATTTAGCTCAGGAGGCTGAAATTTTGTGCCCCGAAGGCCGGTGTGATGGAATAGACCTTCTCATTGCTCACAATATTATGGGGGAAGAACATTAAAGCCATGATTTTTATTGTTTTCCCTGGAGCCAGAACTTTAAAATGTACTTTATTCTCCCCCTACCCTTCCTAAACCACTTAGCTTTTAAAAATAAACAACCCGTTCATGTGTTTGATATAGCCAGGTTATTAGTCCTTTCTCTTTATTCCCGAGCCCTGCTTTTTTCATGCAGTAAAGAAGCTGGACTGATGTGCTTCTAGATCTCTGGAATTTCTCTTCAGTTATTTTATTCAGCACATATTATTTACAGTAACCATTTTTTGAGGGTGTACTCTGTGTCCAATAAAATGAATGAGATACTGAGTTTATGTAGGAAAGGAAAGTGACCTGTCCAAAAATAATGATACTGTGGGTGCCGTGAAGTAATTGCCACTCACTCTCCCAGGAAAGAGATATGGGGAGAGCTGAGGAAGACTTCACAGAGTGGGTGAATTTAGAACTGGCATTTGAACCTAAAAACCAAGGAAAGGGAGAAGGGTGCTCCAAGCCAGGAGAACTACCTGGGCAAGGACAGGGGGTGAGTAAGACCATGGCACTCCAGAAAGGGATGGTTTCCGTAAAGAGGCCTTATGAGGTTGGGGCCAGAGAATGAAGGTCCTTGAATGCTATGCTGCTTGGATTTTATGACAGCCTACATCATCTTATGTTTTTACAAGTGTCTTTAAGCTGAATTTTTAAGCAGACGATGCTATGTGGATTTTCTTTAGAAAATAGCTTCATGAGTAATGTTTCAGAGGAACTGATGAGGGAAAAGCCAAGAGGCCAGAAGAAAATGAGAATATTCTTGCTATAGTCCAGATGAACTAGGATGAGGGTGTAAACTAAGGCAGGTTTGAGAAATATTCAGAAAGTAGAGAAGATAGCATTTAATAACTAGGACATGGGAAAGAAGGTTGAAAATAATTCTGAGATTTTGGAATTGCTTGACTAGGTGAACAGAGATACCACTAATGAGAATAATAGAAATAAGACGAGGAGGAGATTTTGAGAGAAAGACCATGAGTAACTGTGGAACATTCAGGAGAGACCCCCAGGATACAGCCTTGACTATAGCTCTACTATGACATCATACAATTGAGACCTGTCAGAGGTTATGACAAGTCCTCAGTCCAAATGGGCAAATCATCTCCCCAAATCACTTAAAAAGAAGGAAAATAAAACCACACTAGACTTGACTAATGACCATTACACCATATTTAAGGCAAGTTTATTAGAACTCTAATTGCTATTCAAGTTCCATGATGGAGAAAAGGGGACAGGTAAACAGTGAGGGGTTATTATAAGCCAGCAAGATAAACCAAAATAGAGCAACACAGAGGGGAGTGGTTGAAAGGAACACAGAAGAACAAATGGCAGGAGTGTAGCAGAGAGGATGGATGAGGAAGGACAAAGGTATAGGCACTTGAGCTGGCTCTTCCAAATAACTATACTTCTTTACAGGAAGGATATCACAAACTTCAGTTTCTCATTTTATTCAACATGTCAGGGGAGGACATATGGGAGACTGGTCAGGGGTACTGGGCAGACAGTTTGATGTTATTTTGCAGAGAAAGTGTTGGGAGACTTTGAACTAAGGGAAGAATAACAAAAGAAGAGTAAGATACAGCGAAAAGGACAGGATTGGGAGGAATTTTCAGAACACTTAACAGACTCTATGACAGATAGCTACTAACAAAGGCAGTAGGCTGAAGCAGTGCTCTCTTGGTGCTGTGACATTACACTTGCTTAGAAAAAAGAATTTATTAGCTTAGCACCTTGTACTTAAAA